AGGAGCAAAAATGTTGCTGTGTCAAAAGCTGACAGAGAAGTAGCCTTCAGAAAAATCTCTTTGCCCTTTACTGCCCAGGTTCAACCTCTCCTGGCTATATAGCACACAAACTAAAAGCCCAGGGAAATCCATGCAGACTCCAGCCCTGACTACTGATGTGTGAACAGGAAGATCCCTGACCCCTAGTCTCAGAGAGGTGGGACCAAGTTGGGCTGAAAGGCTTTATTGAAAATGGAGGCATAAGACAATAATTAGTTTAAAACATAATAAAGGAGCTCCTGCTATACTGTTCAAACATCCCAACTGTTTCCCTTCAAGCACAGAAACTGTTTTGAATAAATGCTTCCATTTTGAGACATCTACATGGTATTTATAGAAAACTTACGAGTCAATTTGAGGGAGGCTTGGTGCCAAAATGTGCAAAGGAGTGAAAACACTGGTTGTTGTCCTCGTTACCATAATATAAAAATGTCTGCAATGTTTGTGTTGCTGAATCATAGAAGACTGGGTTCAAACACTTTAAAGGCCTGGTTAACTGTGCAAAGTGGGGAGCCTGCTGTAGAATTAGCTTTGGCACCGTCTGAAAGCAGTGCATTGTTGGATTTTTTTTTTTTTTTTCGGAACCGGGGACAGTGCATTATTTGAGCAAATGTTCTCAGTTAAGGATATACTGTGTGAGGTGACAGCAGGCTATATATGGGTACAGCCAAAGTCATCTTCCCTGTTAAAACTAAGTTTACATCATCATCCATTGAATTTCATCCTTGTTAATATGAATATAAACTTCAAAAATGAAAAATCCACTCTTCCAACAACTTAGTAGTTGGAAGCCTATCTAAAATGTCATCCTTTGGTTCACGGAGTGGCATTGTTCAGCGTGAAACTCCTTTTGCTACCTCAGTAACTAAAGCTTTCTGGCTGGCGTCCAAAGCCAACTCATCTTACATGGAATCCCACTCCAACGCCAAGCATCTTTGAAGAAGCTTACCCTATACGATTGGAATTGGATGCATTCATTTGCTATATCCTCCCTGTTTAGAAATACAGACTTTGTGGTCCATTTGTGGCTTACCCAGCCCTTCAGGAGTCCAGGAGGCCTCAGCAAGTTTAAAACAAAGAGTAAAAAGTGCTTACTCTCATTAATTCCTTCTCTCCCTATTTTCTCAATTCCAAGCACTATTGGCAGCTCTAGAAGGCAAGCACACAGTTTTCGCAAGGAACATATTTCCCCGATAATAGTGCCTTAGCAGGTGTTCTTGACACCTAAAACAGCTTAGTGAAAGGTAAGCGCAGATCTGAAAGGCACTTAAGGTAGGAAGAAGTGCTAGTAGATCCCGCCTGCCCCTGCTTGTTCCATGGGAAAGTTACACAGCAGAGAGGGAGGCTGAAAAAGAGACACTCAGAGCCCCTGGATTGTGGGATTTTCACAGAGTGTTTTGCAGAGCTGGGTCTGGGACATCTACTTCCTGGTATCCTCCTCCTCACTGACCTTCCCCTAGATTGGGATCTATCTTAGAAGTCCATGCTTTCCAGCATCCTAGCAAGGCTTGGAGGTTTGGGGGCATCCTGCAGTTTAGGAGATAATGGTATTTGAAAGTCTGTGGCTTCTCTTGCTTGTTTTATATTCTGTACCCAAAGAGATACCAATGACATGACCTGAGTATTTATCTTTATTGTAAACTTTCTTCTCTCCACCATATTTTTCCCTTATTAACCTTTGCTGTGAGATCCATGACCTAGATTATTTTCCAAACCAGCCTATTATATGCACTGGTCAGTTCAAACTATCATACTGGTTCAAAGCAATGTATCAAACCCTCTCCAGGCAAAATAAGTGCCTTGGACTTAGTATTCCCTATTTAATGACTTGCCTAAAATACTGTCACCTTGCATGACTCATACAGTGAAAGTTTTAGCAGGTAACATTTTTTTCTAAATGTAAAGCTTTTGCTCTGCTAGGAAAGTAGGAAAAAGTAGGACACTTAAGTTGTGTGTGTGTGTGTGTGTGTGTGTGTGTGTGTGTGTGTGTTCTCTGATAATTGTACTGTGAAGTATTAGGAGCTTTTATAAAGACAGTATATATGCAGGATTTTTAAGCTACTGCAGCTTATTATTTAAGTGTATATAGTACAAATACCTTTTGCATAACTACAAAACACTCTAAGTAATAACTTTTGGGTAGTTAAATAATTCACCCTCATATTTATACCTCTGTTATCTGCTTATTTTGACATGAGCCTGATTCCTCCCAGGAACTTTTGACCAAACTACCCCCACTTGTTGACAAACGAAAGAACTAAGGAGTAAATTGTTTCATAACTTGCAAAGATGGGGAAGAAAAATTAATCTAATATTTATCCTTGATGTAATAGAAGGCGCTTTACCCCCAGTTCTCTGTGGCACTTGCCCAGATTCTGCCACACTTTGTTCCCAGCCAGCTATTTTTTTTTTTTTTTAGATTTAAGATAATATAATAGGTAGTAGTCCATCTGTTCCTTTTAGGTTTAACATTTAAGAGGATTTTAGTCTGTGTTTTATTTTAATTACCTAATTAACTTCTTAGTTGTACTGCTATCTTGGGATCAAAATTCTGTAAAAGATTTTAGGCCCCTGTCATTAGCCCAAAGAAAATGGAGCTACAACACTGAAAGGGAATAGCTAGGCATGAGTTTGATTCAAATGTAAAAGGCCTCAACGTTTAGAAGGTGAGATAAATCATATGACACGTTAATGCCCCATTTTTTAAAAATCTGCTAAATGCGCCAGCTCCCAGGTGGGAACTTGAATCCCTGCCAATTCAAGACTAAACTATCCTATTAAACTATTTGGTGATGTTTTTAAACGCACCTTGGTTTAACCTACTCACCTCACACCCAAGAACTTCAGCGTTGGTAAGTTGCAAAATCAATGGTTACACAAATAAACTGTCATTTCATTAGCACCTTCCAAAACACCTTGGAAGGGAATACTTAAATAAATAAAACTACTTTATTCCAGAGAGCTGAAAGTGGGTGGGGTGCAGGAAGTGTAATAAAAAGATCTTGAATTGTGCATAGCAAGAAATTAGCGTTTCCAGTAAAATTGTTTACAAAAAAAAAAAAGTAAAGGCCTGTAATGAAACTTAGTGTTCACGTTGGAATTATTTCCCACTCTCCAGTTCTGTGGAAGGACTGACTTCAACGTCCCTAGGCCAGTGTCCTCTCTCACAACACAGCAGGATCTTTTGGCAGCAGGACCCAGAAAGCTTGAACCCCACTGTTTTAGCCTGTGAAGGGGCAACCCCTGGGTACCCATATGCAGCTCGTGGCCTGTCCCACTTCGGAAGTCTCATGGAACTGTGAAGCAGATACGGGTAGGCTTCACTGTAGGGACCAGGCATCAGAAAGTGCCAGGCTGGATGCCAGGGGCAGGGGGCCAGCTCCCTGCTGAACTGGAACTGCACACGAATAGGGGAGCACGACGCAGATCTCAGGAGGGCGGTGGGTGCTACTGCAGAAGTGCTGAGGCTGAGTTCTGAGAAGGTACGAGGACAGTGGCGGAGAGGACGGTTAACAGGGTGTAGAGCCGGCGGCGTACGAGGGCTCAGCACGCGGCAGCGCCCACTGCAGCACCGAGCCCTCCGGCCGCCAGCGCCGCTCCCGCCCCTCCTCCGCCATTCGCGTCCCGGCCGCGACGACCTCTCCGGCCTGCGCACCCCGACCCCTCTGGCCGCCCCGCCCACTCGGCTGGACCTGGGCTGCGGAAGCTGGGCCCCGCCGCCCACCCGAGCTACGCTGCCCGAGCCCGGCGAAGTTCGGGGCTGGAGCAGCCACTTGCTGCCCGGCCGCCGGGGGCTCGGGCTGGACGCACTCTCAGGCCGGATCACCGCACCGCAGCACCAGCTCCGGAGCCTCCCGCGCCCAGGCACCCCTGCAGGACCGCGGCCGGGCCCGAATCAACCCCAATCGCAAACGCAGCCCCGGCCGCCCCACCCCCGCCCACCCCCACCCTCAACCCCACCCCCATCCCGGGCTGCAGGTGAGCGGTCCTGGCCAGGCTGCGCCCGCTTCCCGCTCGCCGGCGTGGACGGAGACGTCACCACCGCGCAGCCCTCGGGCCTGGCCACCCCCTAAGTCTGGGATGGAGGTTTGGGGCCGCCAGCCCCCGGGACCGGCTCCCGGCTCCCCTGCATTTGCATTTCTTATGTAATGCACTGCAAGTTTCTCGGTGCGAGCCCTTTGGAATCGGGGCGCATGATCACGAAGCGGGCAGAGAGCTGGCACCCACGGCTCGGCGAGTGCCGGGGGGACCCGACGCTGGGCTATGACCCTGCTTTTTAAAGACGGAGATGGGGGGGTGGGGGGATTAAATGACTCAGCCTAGAGGTGCCTGGCTGCTCCCAGCGTCCGGGCTTCCCCTAGGCTTAAGTAGTCCCAGCTCTTGTAGCCCCAGGGGCCGGAGGCGTCGCAAGCAGACGGGGGCAGAGTTGAGGCGGGAGGGAGGCGGGGGCGCCGGGGCGGGGGCCCTGTTACTTTGGCAAAGGTGACGGGGCGGCGAATACCGTGCAAGCTAATCCCAAAGTCCGCAGCTCCGTCCCTACTCCGGCAGCACAAGTAAGGAGAGCTCGGGGCTCCTTCTGCCAACTGCCCAAAGCTCCAGCTGTCTGGGGCACAACCTTAGCCATCGCCCTGTGCGCCCTGTGCTAGTCCACCAGACATCAGCGACCGAATGCATTGGGGGGATGGGGGGAGAAAAGAAGAGAAAAAAGAAGTTTCCTCCTCCCTCCTAGCGATGGATTGTGTCACAACCAAGAGATGCCGATCATGGTTTTCGGGTTCGCAGACGCGGATCCAGCAGCGGCTACTTGGTTATTCATTCATGCAACACCTCTATGGGCAACACTGTCCCGGTTCCTCGTATGTTTCCCTGCCTTCCTGCAGAGCAGAACTGCAGAGCTAGCTCGAGGAGCAACAGACAGGGTATTATGAGGAAAAGCATAACACGATGCACGTTTCGCTTACCAGTTGGGTTCTTGTTTTTCTTAAGACTCTTGCCACAAAGACACTGCAGCATATGCGTTCCTTTGCTGAAAATGTTCCAAAGAAACCACATTGATTTGGGCGAAAAGCAATCCAGCAGCTTAGACACCCTGAGAAAGAAGAGATCCTTGTGGTTGCATAATAATAATCTGAAATCAGTTCTCCTGAAGAGGGGCACCGGTTTTACCATAGGAAAAACGATGATATTCCGGATCTTCTCCCAGTTTTTTCCCCTCACGTGGTATATTTCTTTGAGACTTCTCAGCGATTGTTTTTTCTCGGCCAGGGTGAATGATTTATCCCCCCTTTGCTCACCACTGGATTATTACCAAAGGGTTGGGGAAAAAATCCTTTTTCAGCATGAAGCCAAACAAAAAAGCAAAGAAATCCCAACTGAGATCAGAACTAGTCAGGGAGAAAACCATAGCCTTTTACTTGATCGCTATGAGGATGGGTGGGTCAGCAGAAGCGAAGCGAAGCAGGATTCATCTTACTGAGAGAACACTGCCATTGTGGAGCCCCTAGGAGAGAAGGAGGGAAAAAAGAAAAAAAAAAAGAAAAAAAGAAGAAAAAAGAAAGAAAAGGCAAAGAAAGAAAAAGAAAAGAAAAGGAAAAAAAAAAAAAAACCACCACACACACACACCAATACCACCTCCGAGACTGACAGCTGAAGACGGTGCTTCCCTTCTCGTGTCGATTTTTTTTTTTTTTTTTAAATAATCAATCTCCGGTGTTCGGTGGGATCGGATTGAACCTGCAGTTCTGAATCCCCACGGAGAAGAAAAGGTGCGAATCTAGGCGCCCCCTCCCCCGGTCAGTCTCGTAGCAGGTGGAGAGCGCCACAAATCCCCTTCCTCCGGCCTCTCCTTCCTCCAGTTTCCAACCACCGTGAGCATGAGGAAAATCTCCTCTCCGGCTTCCTCGCCCAGCCTCGGATGTGAGTTACAGGCATTAGAGGGAGGAGGAGGAGGAGTTGAAGTTTGCATTGAAAAGACTGGCTCTCCATGACGTAGCCACGTGCTCTGAGACTCGTCACCAGAGAGGCTCCAGCCGGCGCGGGGAGGGCCGCGCACTGCAGTCTGCCGCCGGCTCCCGCTCTGCGCCCGCCGCCGCCGCCGCCCGCCCGCCCGGCGCGACCCTCTCCCCTCGGTCTCCCTCGCCGCCGGCGGCATCGGCCCGCCGCTCGCCAATCTAACAGCCTGCCGTGGAAAATTAACAATTATAATGAGCGAACCTTGGAAAATACAGGGGGCGGGGGGCGGCAAGAACCCGGAGTTGGGTGCCGCTCCACGCAGCCGGGAGTGCCACCTCCCCATTTTCAAAGCGGCGGAGCAACTCAAAGGTGAAGGGAAACTCACGGGGTTCTCTTTCTTCCCCCTGAAGTCTTATTATTTGAACCCTACTGAAGGTTCTGTGGAAACTACAAACTAGGGAGCTGACAAGTATGTGCTTTCAGAAACAGCTTGTGGAAAGGACAACACCAAAATCTAGATGGCAGACAATTTTTGTAGGGAGGCTTGTAGGCACACGACATAATGGATACCTTTTATAGACAGGTGACCCATGGTCTAGAAAGTTTTTCTCTTTTTCTGTAGAGAAAGCACCCCGATTAAACCGCATGCTAATTCGCTGTGCTGGTTTCCGCACCTCTGTTAACATTAACTCCACTCGCCCTCCTGAGCTCCCAGCTGGCCCAAGCTACACACCTTCTCGCCAAGACAGGCAGAGTTTCGGTTTTGCCTCAAGACCGAGCACTGTTCTCCACCCATCTAAAAAGTCCAAGCATTTGGGGCAGAACTGTATATTTTAAAACTTACAATGGGGGAAGTAATACCAACTATTACAAAGAATAATCTAGCAAACTCCAGTGTTCCTACTACTCAAAGTTGATAAATTTAGCTTTGTTTATATTTGTGAGCTGCAATCAGGGAATAAAATTGATCATTTTCCTTCTTTATGTAAATGAATTAAAGTTGGGCCAGCTTCCATTTTAACAGGAAAATGAATATAAAAACTTTAATTTCAAAATATGCATTTAGAAGCTTCAGGTTAATTTTTTAAAATTAAAATCCCTGTCTCTACGCTGTGATACGTTAAACTGCCTTATAAATAGTAGGCAGGGATGCAGATTTATGTAGTGGAGGAGTGAAGAGGGATTTCCACAAGCTAAAATTTCCATCAACTCTCCTGACCTCTTGGGAAACATCATTCAATCCTGGGTTAAGTACAAAAATGAACTTAAGGTAAGTACATTACGTGAAAGTTAAAAAATTGAAAAGCTGAATAGTGATGGATCCCATGTGTCAAAAGCATCACGTCATATAGCTTACAGAAATTACTAAGACTCATTGCAATCTAAAAATACTTGGAAGTAAAGGAAGAGGGAAATGGCCAACAACATTGGTCATTGAAGGAATGAAAATTAAAACAACACTGAGATCCCATCTCACCCAAGAAAGAATGGCTAATGTCAAGAAGTCAACCAATAACAAGGCTGGTGAGCGTGTGTGGGGAAAGGGAACTTTTCCCCACTGATGGTGGGAATGTAGACTGGATCAACTATGGAGGAGCTCATGTGGAGATTCCTTGAAAAACTAGGATGGGAGGCCCCATTCGACCCAGCTATTCCTCTTCTGCGTAGTCCCAGAAGAAATGAAAACATCATACCACAGCAATATATGTATACCTAAGTTAATAGCAGCACAATTTGTCATAGCTAAATCTTGGAAACTAATGCCCCTCAACTGAGGAATGGATAAAAAAGATGTATTTTTGCACAATGGAGTATTACTCAGCTATTAAAAAAGATGAACTCAAGGCCTTTATAGGTAAGTGGAGGCAACTAGAGACCATACGCATACATGAAATAAATAAGAATTACATGTGTAAACATCATATTCTCTCCCTAGTGTAAAACTCTGAAAAAGTAAATAAGATCCAAAAGGCACACTGGAGGCTGGGGAGATGGCTCAGCAGGATAAGCGCTTCCCTGGCAAGTGCAAGGGTCTGAGTTCAATCCCTGGTTTCGCCAAAAATAAATAAGAAAGACAAAAGGCACACTGGATATAGTGAAAGGGAAAGAAACTGCTCAAAAAGAAAGAACACTGGGAAGAGGGAAAAGAGAAAAGACACACACCAAAGACAGCTAAGCTAATTGTACTACTAATTTCTATTAGTTTATTGAAAGGAACAATTATTGCTTATATTGTTTGATCACTTTGCACGCCTGTACCTGGTAATCTGAGCAACTACTTTGAAGATAACAACATGCACTATAACAGTCATTGTTAATTTCTAATAATCTTGTTTTGAAAGTCTGTATCATCTTTATTGGGGTTTTGTCTCTTTAATATAAAAAAAAAAGAGGGAATACATGAAATTAGTGCCGGACGACCTACCATAAAGAAACAGACTAAAAAATGAAAAGTAGAATTCTTTTTCAAAACAGAGAAGTGGGACAGCACTGCCAATTACATAGAAAATAAATTTTGATATCAATTAGGGACAGATAACATATGTTGCTTCTATAATATTCTGCTGTCTGTTGGGAGGTTCCGTAACATCCAAACATATTTCCGCTAAGCAAATGTTCAAGAAAGAGCTGAATAAAATGTGCTCTCTTCCAAGGTCTTCTCTATGCACTAGGCTCCATGGTTCTGTAAAATACTTGCTGAGTTCCCCGGGGCATCCCACAAATAGAGTAAAATGTGAGGAGATGTGCTGTAATTATTGAAGCTCTGTATGCTAAGTCTGAATAAAGAATATTTCTTAAACCAGCTCCTCTCGAGTTTCTACTCTCTACATTGTAAAAGTGAATTGATTCTCTCATAAAATAATGACTGCCCAAAAGCTATAGCTTACTTTGCTGTTTATTGGTGGAAAACTTGTTATTTTTTTGACCTGTAACTGAAGAACAAGACAAAAGACTTGACCATCACTTTTGAGAATTTCAATGCTAGGCATTGTTTGGTTGCTCCTCATATTTTATACTATATATAGAGAGAAAATTTTGATACTTCTACATTTCTTTCATATAATTTCTGGTCCTTTATTTACTTATATTATATGGTGTATTATTCATGTTACTAAACAAAAGACAAAAACAAATTCCCTGAAAAAGAAGTGTAAAACCATCTTAGGTTATTTTTGAACTATAGGACCTGTAATTTCTGCATTTGGTGCAGGGTCTCACTGTACAGCTTGGACTCCTAATGATCTTCCTATTTTCAGCCTTCCCAGTGCTGGGATTACAGGGGTGTGCCACCATGCCCAGTCTAGAACCTATAATTTCTGATGGGCTCTGAGTGACCTATTTCAGTCATTCAGCCAAAATATATCAAGCATCTGTTGCAACAGTAAATACACTAGACTGCATGTTGGATGTCAAGCCATGAAGCTGGACCAGGTTTCCAATGATAGAGTGAAGACCAAAGATGGTCTCAGAGTTAAGCCAGGTTGGGGAGGGGAGGCTCCATCTCAGATCAAGGATAACGCAGAGCTATTTTCTGTATCAACATGGGGTCCAGACCATTATTTATTTGTAGGAGATTTAAAGTGTTCGGCTCCCCTTATCCATGATATATTCAAACCAACATTACACGACAAAAGTGAAGACTAGTATAGAAGAAATGCAAGTTTTAAAATGCGCAAAAATAAAAATAAGATGAGGAAAACCTCACCAAAAGTAAGAAATGAGCCAAGGAGGTAGCTCAGTGACAGAGCACTTGCCTTGAATGTATAGGACTATGGGTTCAATACCCACTACCATTAAATTTTAAAAAGCTAAGGATTAGTAGTAATGCCCCAGTAAACAAGGTGAAAACTATAAAAAGCAGGATTTTATGACACAGTAAAATAGACATTTTCTTCTAATATGGAAGATGTGAACTTTTATGAAATTGGTCAACAAGCATTTGTGAAATTATCTTAGAAATTTTTGTTTTCAGTTGTTACTGTTTTATTTCACATTTGTTTGTTTGTTTTAAGAAAGAGAAATCCTATCTCCATCCCCGCTTTGGAAGGGCACAGGTAGATAACATAATTCCCAGCCCCCAGTAGAGTTGAATATGGTCATATTGACCACATTCTAACCAATAAGATGTGAGCAGGAGTTGCAAGCTCAGGTTCCTCATCACAGTCTCCAAAAGAAGTGACTTACCTTCCAGTTCCCTCTTCTGTGCTTCCTGGGAGCTGTAGAGTTATGGCCTGAGCAGCTATGGCGGCAAGGACAGAGTCACACAGGATAGAGGAAACCTAGGACCTCTACAGAGCCACCCACCTATCCCAGACTGCCTACTTGACTCCACCTTGTAAAA